AAATAAAATAAAAAATTAGGGAACTATGTTGTTAGAGATTAACAATAATAACCCTATACAATTTATAAGACTTGTTTTCTAGAAATCAAGATTGAGGTAAGTGGATTTCCCCCTCCCCCCCCCCCCCTTTATCATCAGTATCATGCATTTAAGAAATGTTTGAAGCAAATATAAAAAATAGGTGTTGAAAACTGGAGTTCAAATTGCAGACCTGCACTTAATCTAAAGTGCATATTTACAAACTCCAGTCATGAAGGCCGCATGAACAGAACTGGTACCATAGGCGGTGAGTAGATCCCATGTCCTATGAAGAAACATTAGACGACAAGTTATTTACAGCCGCGTTACACAGTTCGGATTAGTACAATGCAAACAACATAATCACCATCTTTATAATGCAGCAGAGCGAATATTAGCTCATCCATATTGTCATGTATTGTCAAGAAGCAACTTTGTATAGCCTCTCGAGAGGAATGCACTGGTAATCAGCTCACCCCACGATATATAGCATTAGGTCGAAGGTCATCCATATTATCTATGTTTCTGTATCCATCGATATCCCTGACACCTGTGTAGCCTCTACGGGCTAGATATTCACGGTAGTCATCTTCTGTGTAGAAAATCTTCTCCTCAGTGTGGACTGGTATATGATCTGACTCATCATAGAGGCACACTTTTATAGCCAAACCTGAATGCAGGAGGTAAAAAATGCACAAAAAATAAGTACTTATTGTGTTCTCTCTTCTATCAGTGAAAAAAACGTCAGTAATCATGTCCCCAGACATGTTTGATAGCAAAATGATAATGTCTTAGAGTTTGACCCGTCAGAATACCAAAACCCGACTCAACTTAATTTGATCATAAAAAGTCAAACACCAATACACATGACACGAACATAAGGTTTTAATTCCCTAAATGACCAGAATTATATCGTCTAAAGGGATCCATACCGATGTTACCTTCATCAAGCTGGAGTGTATAATTCCCTAAAGGCATTTCCCTGTCGAGACTGCGAACTGTATTGTCTTCATCCTCCAACCAAAACGAACGTTTCGTTCTCAATCTAAATGCAGATTTAATTGCCTCTCTGATTGCATCCGCAGTTCCGTCTATACCAATTCTTCTTGTGTAGTCCCCATACTTGACAGTTATAACCCTTCCTCCATATGACTGACAGTCCCCACCTACCAAAAAGAACGTGAAAGAAAATGAGAAATCGATATATGGAGTGGATATTCATTGCATTTAAAATTTTCATCTCAGACAATATTTGGGGCATAACACTCTGAAACAAGACTGTCCGCCAAAATCACATTCACTTGAGCAAGTGCGAATGAACACCTGAACCTTGTCGTACATGCAAAACCACCAAATCTTTTGGTAAAATCAGTTGAAAATTCTAATTTACATAACTTACCATTTCCCGGGATCTCTCTCCAACTCCAAGGTGGAACTCCACTGTTTGCAACTGCATCAGCTGTTGTGATAGCAAGAGGATGTCCATCATGATCTAAACGTCTTTCAAGATTGAGTGTTGGCCTACCATTTGCTGCACACCGGAATACACAAGCAGAAGGAGATGCATAACATTTCAAAGACATGATATTGAGAATAGATTGAAGACATGCTTCAGTAAGAAGTTGTTTGATCACTCCTCAGGGTACATAATTTTTGCTTGTTAATTCAGTGTGGAAATGCATCAATATGCCAGATTAACTTGACGAAAAAACAAGAATAAACGTTAAGAAAGCAAACTCAATTACAACAACATACCTTCAACAGGACCAAATGATATGCCAGTATCATCAAAGCCTGCAAGAACCAAACCATATTGGCAAAGATAACGAAAATCATTATAATAGGATGCAAGACTTGATACATGTTGCAGTATGAATGAGAAATCAAAATCTCCGAAAGCAGGAGGTTAATACTTATATACTGCTTTTGTAAAGTGCTGTGCAACAGCAAGTTTATGTGAAGGGTGAAACCAGATGAAATCAAGAAAACATAGAATGAAGTGAATGGACAAGGGATCCAGCAACAAACAACAGAATGGAAATCGATAGACCAATAGTGATAATTATGTCTACCAAAATAAGAATTTAATTCTTAAAACATATTTACTACTACTTCCCTGCTTTTATTACAGGTTGTTTCCTAAACTTCAAAGAAACCAGAGAAGCCCACACCCTTCACGCCATATCTAAACTTTAAAAAAAAACAAAAAAAAAACAAAGAAGCCTCCTGCGCTTATCTATGTAGAACTTCCCTGATCTTACAGGCTATACTCTAAACTTTAAAGAAACCGTAGAATAGAAGCCCAGAATCCCTACATCATGTTGAAACTTTAAAGAAACCAAAGAAGCCTACAATCCTTACATCATATCAAAACTTTAAAGAAACCGAAGAAGCCTATAGCGCTTATTGACATTCGACTTCTCTGCTCTTACAGGCTATAATATACTAAACTTTATAGAACCAGAGAAATCTACAACCTTTACTCCATATCTGGAAGTTTCCTATCAAACTAAAAATTCCTGATCTGCTCAGCATGATTCATGCTTCAAGGACCTTGATCACGATACCATATTTCAAATCATGCAGTTTTTCTTTTGATATGGCACCTTGCTTCAAGAGCAGACATAATACATATATAGCCATCTAAAACACCACAATAAAGATATCAGCCGGAGCTTTTTCAATATCAACTTCATGAAACATGATTAAAGCAGACAAAACTTCTTATAAAGCACTCATTATAACCATCGACAAAATTGGAAGCCTACTCAGTCAAAGTTATTTCAAATCAAAGAAATTCCCATAGTGAAATAACTAAAAGTAACCTTCTTTTCCCCTTTCCCAATAGCAATTATAATGCCCTCATTTAAGTCACTTCAGGAAGTAATTTTAAACAAATTCAACCTAAAAACTAATAGCAACTTTATGACATGCTCCGACTCCGGGGATCTCACCTTCCAAGTTTCTAACAATAGCAATTCATAATTCCCTCTTAAGTCACTTTAGGGAGTAACTTTCAACAAATTCAACCACTAAAGCTTTCATCTGTCTTGAAATAACCACCAGAATAGAGCTTTTTACAAAGAATGCCCACCATTCATCCCATGAACAACTGAACAAAAAAATTTCCACTTTCTAAAAATGCCAAAAAGGAAAAGCCTAAAAATATAAACACACATGACACACCCTTATCAGCGAAATGCATAAAGGAATCAGCTTTAGGAGTTGGGGTTGGGCTCTTGTAGGCATTCTTGGTCCTCTCCCTTAAAATCTCTTCAATTTCCTTGTAATAAGACATCTTGGCCGACCCACTCCCTCTATCTTGATGCTTAGCTTTCTTGAACTCTTTCAACAAGTTCCTCCACTTGTCGGTACACATGGTGGGGGATCTATCGAACCCTTTCTCCCTCATCTTAGCCGAAATCTGCTCCCACAAATGCTTGTTGGATTTGGAAGTATTGAAGAGGCCGTCCATTTCTCTTCGAAAGCCAATAAGGCTGCGGGTTTCGTCTTGGACCCATGTCTCGGCTCGTTTTTTGGGGGCTTTGGCTTCAGGATCTTCACCGCTGCTTTCACCTAAGATCATTTGCTGTTTCTGTTGATGTTGTGGTGGTGGGGCTGCTGGTGAGGTGGCAAATCGCCATTGGTGGTGACCTCGATGATCATGTCGCGGGCGGCGGCGGGACCTTCCTCTTTGTATACGTCTATTGGGCGGGGCTTCTCCGATAAGTACATGGCATGGCGATTTTGAATCTGAAGAAGAAAGAAGAAAGCGTTTAGCAGCTGCAGACGGTCGAGGAGTTGGAGCGAGCCAATACAGATGTATTTCTCAAAGTGTGAACTTGTCTTTCCTTTGTGCGTTGCGTTTTGCTTCTTCTCTTTTCTATTTTCTATGATCAGCCTTGTTGAGCCAAGCTCCCAATCCATTACTTAAATAATATTAAAAATTAAACAATATTATATATTTGATAAATAATTATTATATTATTAGATATGAATTAAAATTTAAAAATCACCCAATAATCTCAAATTTTCCAAAATTTTTAAATAAATTCTACTTGAGAGAGAAGAAAGAAGAAATTTTGTTATTAAAGTTACACTTATGAAAATAGAATGTTCTAACTAAAAACTTTTAAACATATGATCTAAACAATGGTGATGCTTTAAAATATCCTAGAATTCAAACTTCCTTTTTTAAAACTCCAAATTTTCTTCATTAATATATATATTCATCCTAAAATTATATGCGTCCACCTTGAAATTTTATCGTGTAAAAAATTTATATTATTAATATATATATGTTCACCTTAAAAAAAATTTCTAAATCCGCCACTAGATCTAAAGATTATTAATCATGTTAAATATTTTCTAAAATTACTTTTTGTATTATTATTATCATTTTGAATGAAATTCAAATCACTTTGCAAATATATATATATATATAATCATGAATCACTGCTCCATTTATCTCGAACAGAAAAAAAAAAGATTCATTTCAATTTGATCATCGAAGTTTTGATAACTCAAATTGTATAACTATATTCAAGTATGTTACTAATCAATTTGAATAATGAACGAACTTAACTATTTTTTATTTTTAATTTATGAGTATTTTTTTATATTTTTAATTAATTGTCCCATTCGAACTAAAGATCAAGGTCAGCTCAGATAAAACTTGATCGAGATTACTGACTTCTTATAGGGTTGAGTTATACACGAATAGATGACAACCAAAAAACTAGGACAATAATGTGGAAAAAAAATCCTACGTCCATTAATTCTGGCCTGCATCAACTACATCAAACTCGACCAACCTTAACCTCTACCTCGATTCAATACTCATAACACTCAACTACCTCCATTAATGCTGACCCTTCATCAGCTCCATCAACCTTATTTATTAAAGAAAACAATACTCTTCAAACTCCAAAAGCTTCTTCGAAACGGCATTTAAAGACTAAACAGTGATCATTGCTCTTAGATGACCACTGACAGAGATACAATAGAATATAAAAATATCCAATGAAATTATGAAACCCTTAACTCTCCTTCAAAAAACTATCCTCAAGTTTTGATAGGGTTTTATATGAAAGTAAACATCATAATTAGTTCAACTATTGTCTATCACGATCCATGAAGAAACAAATAACATTAAAGCCAAGCAGTTTGAAACTTCCTTACCCCAAACACGTTTCCTCTGATTACTTTCTAGACTTCTTTCTTGAGGACTTAGATTGAGGTCGTGATGGCTCAGCGTTCTGTGAAGCTCCTTTTGAACTAGTGGCTTGGTTCGATTTTGGGTTTGAAGTACTGGAATTGGTAGCTGAAGCACTAGACTCACTCTTGTCTCTAACCACTGCACCCTGGGATCCTCTCACCTGAGCTGCTCTCTTATCCTTTCGTTTGGGCCTGTAACTTGACCTTTCCCTCTTTGGGAGCCATCTTTCTGGATCTGGTGGAGGACCAGGATTTGCGGGGTCAAACCCTTTGGGATACCTCGGCTTTCTCTTTCTCTTTTTCTTTGGTTTCTCCTTGATCTTACCATCCTCTTGAGCATCAGCAATCCCGCCACGAGAAGCACCGTCAACAGGTTTTGCCCCTGAAGTTTTCTCTAAAGCATCCACATCAACCCCCTTCAAACCTGGTAATGGTTTCAGTTGCTTCTCGTAAGCTTCAGCCTTTTCAACATTCACACGAGCAACTGTAGTTATCAGCCCGACTAATGCTTCTATATCTCCGTGACCTTTTACAAGCTCCTCATACAAGTGGGCAGCTTCCTCCTCCTTGCCATGCCTGAGCTTGAAGGATGCAGCCTCTCGCATAATAACACTGAGCTGGTTGTCCTCAGTCATAGCAGATTTCCACCATTGGATTGCAGAGTCAAGCACAGTGGCTGCACCATTATATCTCCAGCACGCTCTTTGAGAGTAACAAGAGTGGCAACAGTTGCAGGCATGTGCTGGATGTCGGGAACCTTAGCAAGGGATTCAGCTGCAATTTGAGGGTGACCAGCAGCAGCAGCAACCTGTGCCCTTGCCAAGAGTATGATCTTCGACTTTTCAGGAAATGCCTCAGCAAATTGACCCAACATTTCTTCAGCTTTCCCTGCCTTGTTTTCTCTTACCAAGACAGCAGCTTGAAGCAGTACTGGCATCACACTGTCAGGAAACATCTCTGGCAAAACGGAGACAAGTTCCCGAGCCTGCAGGTATTCATCAACAGAAAGGGAAACAAATTGATTAGCTGTCTACTTTTTTTGTTCCCCCTCAAAAAGAGAGCTAAAAAACCAATGCATATCAAAAGTGCTAAATGCAAAATCCCAAAACAGAACCTGATCCATCTTATTTGCATGAAGAAGGAGTAGAACACGATTCGAATATAGTGTCTCTTTTTGTTTTGGTGAAAGCTTCAAGTCAATCGCATGCGCAAGCTCAAACTTCTGCGAGTCTTTCTCTTTAAGCCGATCAAGTTTCCTTAAGCTATCAGATATATCTTTTGGGCCTTTCACAGCAATAAGGTTGTTCACTGCTGCTGCAAGTGAAGGTTCATCTGCCATATTTCGGTTTATAATATCTGTATAAGCTCCAACAGCCTCCTGTGTTTGACCAAGGAGCTGATAAAGCAAGTTAACACACATTAGAGGCTGCTGCATTAACAACATTCACAAGGAGATAAAAATGGGAAATAATACAGAAAATGATTACATGATGCTATTGTTTTACCTGATGAACATAAGCTAATTGGACAGCAATAGGAGCAAGCTCATTCTCAATGTCCTCATCAGCAAGGTTTTCTTCTGTCAGTGTTTCCTGACCAATTCTAACGAGAGAGAGAGAGAGAGATAGAAGGAACATGTATTAGCATATCAGTAGACCTGTGGTCCACTATTTGGATACATCTTAATATCCAAAGAATAAGCTACGCAGCATGTTATATCAGTTCCCTGAGAAGCTAGAGCACTAAAATGGAAAATGTTAATCTGGATGAAATTAAAACGAATATCATCATAATGATATGAGTTTTAAAACATTCAACTTCGCTTTCCAATTTTATCCCTTGCTGCATCTGAAAAGGAGTTGCTAGAACCTAATACATCTGAAAGCTGATTTTTAACTACACTGTTTGAAAATGAATTTCTGAAGCAATTTGTAGAATGTTTCAAGAGAACAAATAGGTGCCTTTTTCAAATTTATGCTAGATTGAAATGCAATTCTGGAGTATTATAAAATTATTTTTTAAGAGAATTTTAGTGGGTCAGCTATTGAAAACCTACTTTTCTCTGCTACAACACCTAGAGCACAATAAAATTACCAAGAATTATAAATTTATTTTGAAAGTCAAATCACAGAAGGTGACACCACTCAACTGTGTATTTCTGAAGTAGAACCAGTAATGAGAATAAAATAAGTTAAACAATTCAAAAACAGATCAAAATAAAAATAAAGACAACTAGGATAGCTAAATTATAGTTATAATGGAAAGTTCTGATATAAAGACGCCCCACCAACATATGCTCGATACTTTTTCTCGGTTCCACTGAAATCTAAGCACCTTATTGAAATGATCCTAGCCCAAAACACGATTAATCTGTGAATCTACTAACAAAATAAAACATTGATCCCGCAACCAATATTGAGTAATGAGAAAAGATTTCTATATACAAACAATAAAAATACTGAAGTACCTTCGGGCTGTGAGCAAGAGTTGTTCTGCATCCTTAAGTTTATTTCCTTCAATTAAAGAACAAGCAATATTGTATGCCAACTCAAAGCTGCTGGTAGCTTTGATCTTAATGGTATCCAATGTTCCTTGCACTTCTGAAGCTTTTCCAGCAGAAACCAAACCAGCAACCAAATTTATTTCCAAGGAATCAATCTTTGCTTTTTGAAGATTTCGACAGATATCAACACAAGCGTCCATTTTCCCTAGACGATATAGAATCTGAGATTCTAACAACATCCTAGGTTGAGTCTTATCTTGCTTCTCCAAAAGCTTCAAAGCTTCATCCAACTTGTTCTGTCGGTATAGGCAATATGCCTATTTAGAGATAGAAAGAAAACAGGTATTTTAATTAGATTTGGAATATCAATGCACCCTAAACAGGGCAGTATATTACTGATCAGATAAATTAAAATAACAAGAAAACAAACATGAGGTGCAGAGTGAAACTATGTTACTCAAACTTAAGTGTATCAAAAACAGGATGTGCTTGGCATGGAATTTTTATTTTTTAAGAAGTTTTTTCATGTTTTGGAGGGTCATACCCTCATGCCCATGTCCAAAATGTGTCGGACATGGATACTTCAGAAAAGTTGAAGAGTTGCAGCAAGATAGGAGGGAAACATGAATGAACAGGTCAAGCTGATAACAGTATACAAATGAAAGAAGACATTACATAGAAAAAGAGCAATGAAAGAAGATGATGAGACCAGAAATTAACTAAAAATCTTGCATAAGTCTCATACCATAAAAGCCTCTTATAGACTACCCGAAAGTGAAATAAATCAACTGCAAAACCAATAACTTGAACTCCAAATCATTATTATGAGCAAACTTCCCAAATATACTAAATGATATATCAATCAAAGTATATACAATTAGCTTAAATTCTGTCTGATTACTATTTTGCTATTTAGTTTTCAATGAAAACAAATTATGATCAAAATGTGCAAATAACTCAATGTACAAGATTGGCACACAAAATTCCCATATAGACAGTCAAATTCCTGCAATTTTTTTCCCATTTACAAATATATAATACTTCAATTTTTTATTTTTCAATAACATTCAGTAATAGCATAGCATTGAAACTAAAATCGGATTAAAAGAAAAAGAAAAAGCGGGAAATGACCGACCTTGTAGAAACTGAAATCAAAAGAAACCTTCTGAGCAGATTGAATTGCTGAGAGAGCATCCTCAATCTTATCGGCCTTCATCAACGCCACAACTTTGCATCGAATGGCGTCTTCATCTCCCGGCGCAACTGACAGAACTGCGTAGAATTCAAAATTAAGTCAGAATTATGCAGCTGACAGAACTGCGTAAAATTCAAAATTAGATTTGATTGATTTTGGAAATAGTAAAAAAATTGAAAACAAAAATTACGAATGCAATGCACCTTGATTTGCAACTTTGACGGCTTGTGTGAATTCGGATCGTTGGATGTGTCTGTTGAGTGAAGTGAAAAGATCTTCGATAGGGGGAGGAGGCTGCGACGGCGCAGCAGCCGCTTTTGGCTTCTCTTTAGACTTGGGCGCCATGGATTTCCTCCAACGAAGAAAACCAGATCCTTCTCCTTCTCTTATCGCTTACCAAGCAGATGAAATGAGATTTTGAGGGTTTCTTTTTCTTACGGTCGTTCCATCTCTTCGGTTTTCTCTTCTTTCTGTACAATTGGACAAAATTGGCCCAATAGGCCATGCGGAAAAAAATTAGCCAACAAGATTATCTTTAAAATTAATTTAACATCTACGATATAAGTTACGGTAGAGGCTAACTCAACACGTAAAAATGAAAAGTTTATCTAAATAATATTTTTTATTTAAACTCATCACATCAAAATGATAAATTCTAAAAAATATATATTTTTAATTAAATTTTATCATGTTAAAATAATAAATTTTAATAAAAATATATTTTATTATAATATGTTATGTCCAACGTGACGAGTTCCAAATCATTGTTGCAAATATCATAACTCTTAAAATAAAATGTCTGATTAGACTAACAATTAGCCCGCCTACGATATTCTGCCAAAATTATTCTACAATTTCCGCTTTCAGATGGGCCTCTAGCCTTTGTGGTAAGAAGAAGAAGAAGAAGACGTTACAAGCCCGTTGTAAACCTTATGGGCCTGAATCAACCATGTCTTAAGTTCACTTTATTTTCACCTACGTGTACTTGTAAATTCATGTAATTTTTTTGGGTAAAATACTTAAATGGTTCTCAATTATAGTTGTTTGTTTGGTGAGTCTTCTAATTATAAAAAAATTATAAAATATATTTTGATTTTGAAAAAAATAAATTGTTTTTAATTAAAAATTATTAAATAATAACATAATAATTAATAAAATTAATATTGTAATTATGTCGGTCGTATATGGCTCACCTCTTCTGATTTTGGTAAAAAAATTGTAGCCGGTAGTCGGATGGTAATCAACTAAATATATTGATAGTTAAGAGATGAAGAAATATCTCGAAAAGAAGTATTCACAGGCTATAAGTATGGAGAAGAAGCGCTATTTCTCAAGTTTCTAAGAATTTATATATTGACCTCTTATTCGTGGTGGCGTCAGACCTATGATTATGATTATTATCCGTAGATGATTGAATACAACTGCTAATTTAATAGTTTCAATTGTCTTGCCAATAGTGATGGAAAACTAAGTGACTCAAATAACTTTGAAAGTCAGACTTTTGAAGCACACCAAGTGTCCTCTCTCAATGATATACTTATATTCAATTCTCACATTCAAATCCGAGTAATAATAATTAATAAAAAATTCCGAGTAATAAAAAGCTTTAATATTATTCTATAACCAATACATAGTCGATGATAAAAGAACTTGTACAAGTCTCGATTCTCAAATTTTTTGACTTGTTAAAGATATTCCTAACTAAATGCATGAATGTATTCAAATAAAATCATTACATTACAACAGATGCAAACATAGCCTAGTTAACCAGTACAAGGTTTTGTTTGAACACTAGTTTCAACTAGTGTTAAAAAGATTAAAGTTCACGTTCGCATTTAATGTAATGTAATGTAATGATTTTACTGGATTGATTAAAATAAAGTTCATATTCTAATTAAGAATATCTTTAATAACTCAAAAATTTTGAGAATTGAGGCTTGAGGAAGTTTTCTTATCCTTGACTATGTATTGGCATATTAAAATAATGTTAAAATCTGTTATATTTCTAAAAGTCGGATATAAGTATATATATAACAGTAGCGTAATTTATTGCTTTTCCATTCATTTGGAAAATCGTCAAATCATATATTGAACACGTGTGTTTAATATACGTATTTCAACAAAAACAAATTAAATAGCACGGGTTATACCTTAGTTTCTACTAAGTTCGTATGATCGTATAAGTTAGGTGACTGGGATTGTGTATATCTCCAAGTAACACATTTAGATTATTCTTACAATAATTTTAAAAAAAATAATAATGCTAAAACATTTTAGAACTGAGAGAAGTATTCTTTTATTTTTTTTCTGTTGAAAACCTCGACGAGTCCAATTCATTTATTATAAAGGATCTAAAATATATTACTAATATTATACCAACTCTTTGACTTTAGTTAACCTTTTATTCTATAATTTTTTGTGTAGAACAATACTAAGACGACAGAATCGACCGTATATCATTGAAGTAACAGAGTCGACCATATATCAATTAGGCAGTACAATGAAGATCTCACCTTTTACTTTCACATAATAATAAATGTATATATTTGAAAATCTTTTGTAAGTTCACTTCTTCTTCTTAGTGTTTTTAGTTATATTTAAAGTGTTTGCTTAACAAAACAATAAAAACAATATATCTAACAAAGTTTAATTATATTTCCATAATTTATCGATAAGATATTAAATTAATTATGAAATAATAGAATGTACTTTCATTCTATAATTTTTTTTAAATTACTTCTTTTTATAAGGTTTATTTTTAATTTTCGATCAATGCCCAAAACATGTCATAGACAACCCTGCTTACTATGCACCCACCCTTCTTTTTGAAACATTAGGTCAGTACTGAGTGTGCTAGGGTGGAAAGCTAGGAAGACTCAAGAACGGATGAAAATCTCCCTCAATTAATCAAACGATTCCAACTTTTGAACCTTCAGCTAGTGGTGGTTGCTGCCAGTGCTTGGCATGCAGCAGATGTTGTGGGTCAGGAAGGAAGGGCTTGCACATGGGGTTGGGGACGATAAGGGTGTTCAGGTCACGGAAAGGAAGAAACTGAACTTGTCCCGAAGGTGACACAAGTATTAAACAATGTCAAAGCGGGTCATGTTGCAACAGGGGACTATACGACCTTAGTGGTATCTGAATGCAGTGAATGCACTCTCTTTTGGTTGTGGGAAATCTGCTGGCATAGGATATAAATAATACTGCAGCTGAAGGACAGGTTTGAATTCACATTCCATTCCCATTCCCATTCCCATTAATCTTTATTTTTCACCGTCTTCTAATAATTTTGGAAATAAGATAATCTGTGTTATCTAAAGTACATGTGTCAGCACTCGGCACCTATTTCCGGCATACATTTTTAGGATATGATTCTTCAAATATACATGAAAACTTAAGAATTATGAAGTGATCCAGTAACTATGGACATTTCGGTTTATTGCTAATGTGGCAAGGAAACATAACCTGCCAATGTGTTGCGCCAACAACCGGTGAAGTCCTTGAAGCAAGTGCATCAAGGTAGCACAGATTAGCCTAACAGACTCAACACACTGGAAATCCCATGCGTTTGGTGCAGGAGATAAAGGTCCGCTAGGCATACGGCCAATGAACAATCACCGAGTGAGAGAATATAGATCTCGATCCTTTCCAACTTATCATGCCACTCAAATCCATTTGATGTTTAGATTTCCTTTCTGTTGTAAACGGAAACAAACAGAAGCGCTGTGAAGACTTCAAGTTAGGTTAGCAAGGCGCCCTAAGCATTGCTACAGGGCTGATTTCCTAAGAAAATTGTTTAGCACATAGGCCATGAAGTTGTTAATGGTTCAAAACATCTGTTAAGGTTCATTGCCTACTTATTTAAGTTGCATTTCTAAATTCACTGATCTGCAAATGTCTAAGGATCATCTAAACATATGGGGGGGGGGAATACTAAAGAAAACCACATGCCCCAAGTTTTATGCTGCATCCAACACATATTTTTGGCAAGGATATAAGAGAACGATACTCTCAAGTATAGGGAAAAACTTCGAGCAATTTTAAAGGGACATAAATCTAAAATTTTAAAAGGCGTTTACCATTTATTAGATCACACATTAAATAACTTTTTTTTTCCAGCATCTTTACTTTCAGGAGAAAAACTAGTACCCAATGATCCATAGGACTGAAAAAAGAAAACAGAAACACCAACTCGTATTTTGACATGTATATAAGAGAATGATATTCTCCCAACATATGAAAATACTTTAAAAAATTGAGTATGCTCTACTGCAAAGATGATATATTTAGGTGTCGTAATTGTCTTTCGGTTGGGCCCCAGAATTGGGCTTCGACGTGAATTAAATGAATTGGGAGTCGCCACCGATCATTTACTTTACGAAAAGCGGGTTGATCGGATATCTTATTTCTTATCTGATCTGCGTCTTACCAGAGATATGTCGGATTCAGGAGTCGGTTACAGTCAAAGAAGGGTTAGCACCCTTGAACTGCCCTTTCGGTACTACGTAATTTTACGTAATTTCCAGTTGTCATTAAGTAAGAAAATTGAAAGTTTAACTCAAAATGTAAAATTACGATCTAAAATTACTTACCCTAATTCGATTTGAAAATATCCCTTTTAAAAAAGGCGAGAAACACGTTAGAGGAAAAAGACAATGAAAGTAAATAAATAAAACAAAGAAAACACATAACTAACACGAATAAACAAAATGAGATAAAAAAAATAAGAAAATAAAAGAAGTAAAAGAAAAATTAAACAAGAAAAAAAAAATAACGTAACGAATCTAATAAAAAAAACAACAATAATAATAATGAGGAAAATACAAAGAAAATAGAAAATAAATGAAAAGAAAAAGCAATCACATAAAATAAATAAATAAAATGTAAGTTAAAAGTAAAATAGTAATATCAATTATAATGATAATTATAAATATATAAATATATACGTTAATAGCAAAAATAAATAGTAATAATACTAGTTATATGAATATATATATATATATATATATAATATAAACAAGGTATAAAAAAATAGTAATAATAAGTATTAAAATAAAAAATAGTAATAAATAAATAAAAGAAATTATAAAGAATATGAAAATCAAAGTAAAAAATAAAGTATAAATGAAATAAAAAATAATAATAATGGAAATATAAGTAAACATATATGATATTAGTAGGGGATTAAATTGAAATAAAAGCTAAATCAGTAGGCAAATGTCAAAGAACATTGAAGATTAAAACGGGCAAAAATAAAAAAGTTTTCATTTTTTTAATAGATTTTTGCACCCTCATTCCAAAAATGTAATTTGTTTTTTGCGAAATAGCCTCTAGGGAACGTAGATCTGAAATCAAAGTTTCGAAAAACTCTCTCCGGGTCATCAGCTAAAACATTTGTCTTTGGGGTTCTCAAGCAAAGAAAACGCGATTAACAACGTATGCAAGTGAAGAGTAAATAGAAACAAACGAAAGGTAAAAAAAAAAGCTTTCGCCTTTATTACTTCGAATCGTTTACAATAGCCTCGAAATCACTTTTTCTTTTCTCGTATTTTTTTGGCATTCATTTTGTGTAAGGTGTGGTACTTACAAGGCTTATTTATAGTACTAAAAAAACCCTATTTTAGACTAGTATTTAAGTCATAATCCAACTCTATTCTAGACTAGTATTTGAGTCCTAATCCAACTCTTTTTTGTTGGTTACATGAAGACTCCTCGGTTGGTAGGACAAAATCTGGTGTCTTCAGTTGCCCCTCTTTGCTCATTATCGTGTAACGAAAATGGAGCAAAGATTACAAGACACAAATTTTGTCCATATCGAATATCCTCTGTCGTAGAGTTGAAATCATTGTGAGGTTGAGTCAAACTTGGAAAATTCTGAACAAGAAATCCTTCGTCGTAAAGTTGAAAACGAGCTCAAAGCTTTTGACAAGTGGCCTCTGAATCGTCTTCTGGCTCAAGATACTTCGTCGTGAAGGTGGAACTTGACCTGAAGACTTTGGTGTTGTTATGTTACAGATGACTCATTCGTCGTGAAGTTGGGTCAATCTGTTTGTGAAGTTGAAATTGTATATGGCTCCTTCATCGTGAAGTTGAGCCTGAGAATCGGATATCCTTCGTTGTGAAGTTGAAATCCAATACAAGTCAAAATCGACTCTGAAATTGGGAAGTTGTTTGTTGAGAACCAACCGTCCCTTCGTTGTGAAGTTGAACTTGTGTTGTCTCGGGTAGCACGATATCCTCCGTCGTGGAGTTGAAATCGGCTCTGAAATTGGGAAGTTGTTTGTTGACAACCAGTCGTCCCTTCGTTGTGAAGTTGAACTTGTGTTGTCTCGGGTAGCACGATATCCTCCGTCGTGGAGTTGAAATCGGCTCTGAAATTGGGAAGTTGTTTGTTGACAACCAATCGTCCATTCGTTGTGAAGTTGAACTTGTGTTGTCTCGGGTATCACGATATCCTCCGTCATGGAGTTGAAATCGGCTCTGAAATTGGGAAGTTGTTTGTTGACAATCAGTTGTCCCTTCGTTGTGAAGTTGAACTTGTGTTGTCTCGGGTAGCACGATATCCTCCGTCGTGGGTTTAAAATCGTGGATGGCCCCTTCGTCGTGAAGTTGAACCTTAACTTGAATATCCTTCGCTGCGAAGTTGAGATCCAAGTATTGTATGTTGCGGGTGGACACAATTCCCTTCGCCATGAAGTTGAAACCGTGGATGACCCCTTTATTGTGAAGTTTGTCTTCGAGCTAGATATCCTTCGTTGCGAAGTTAAAATCTACTCTTGATCAAATTGTGTCGTTGCGAAGTTGATATTGACTCTAGCCTAGGTCTGTATGGAAATCTTGATTGTGGAATCGTGAAGTTTCGATCCCTGATCTTGAATTCTTCAAATGTTCCAATCTGATGTTCGTTTTTTATCCTTGATCTGGGAAATGCTTCTCAACCATCTCAATTATATGCATGAGCCTTGATCAGCTTCCGAGTACCTGTACTTTTCAATGAACCTTTGTACAGTAATATTCGAATATCTTTTGCATAAGTAAATAAATCATTAAGTTTAAGCTCAATCCAGGATGCTCAAAAGGAATTGGTGTAGAGAAAAATATTGTCTTTTATTCATGAGGGAAAAAGAACAAATAATACATGACAAACATTCTGGAAGATGGAGATATGATGAGGTGTAAATGAATGTCTTAGATTTCAATAATGTGGGCACTTCTGAGCTGAAAAGCCGTTAGGTGACCTTAAATACAGCATTTGCCAAATGATCTTTGAGAATGCGAAAACATTTAGGAGAATGCAACCTTTCTCTGACTTGTTGAGTCTGTGGAAAATTCAGATGCTGGGGAGTTTCAACTATTTGGATTTCTTGAATTATCCAAATCGCCCTTTCGGGTTTTCAACTTGGACCCATCCTTGGTTGCAAGACGCCCTTTGAGGGTTTTCATCTTGAAACGACCTTATTTTTTGTTCTTTCTCTTTCTCTTTTGTTCTTTTTTCTTTTTTTCAATTTTTTTAATTTAGGGCGCCTTTTCGGGTTTTCACCCTAAACGTTTTTCACTTTTTGTTCCTTTTTTTCTTTTTTCCCGACTTAGGACGCCCTTTCGGGTTTTCATCCTAAGCGAAGTATTTCTTGACTGCATCCGAATTGATGGGATGTGACAGGTCAGGTCCGTCTATTTCGGCCAGGACAAGGGCCCTTCCGGAAAATGTCTTTTTCATGACATATGCTCCTTCCCAATTTGGCGTCCATTTTCCTCGGAAATCTTTCTAAAGTGGCAGAATTCTCTTTAGCATCAGATCTCCTTCACGGAATATTCTCGGGCTTACCTTCTTGTCATGTGCTCGAATCATTCGTTTCTGATAGATTTGACATGGTGAATGGCTTTCAGTCTCTTTTCATCTATCAGATTAAGCTGATCGTATCTGGATTGGGCCCATTCTGCATCATCCAGTTTGACTTCTGTCAGGACCTGTAGTGACGGAATTTCTACTTCAATGGGCAGCATTGCTTCCATTCCATAAGCTAGTGAAAATGGAGTTGCCCAAGTCGAAGTTCATACCGAGGTTCGGTAAGCGAACAAGGCAAAGGACAACTTCTCATGACAGTCTTTGTAGGTCTCGGTCGTCTTCTCCACTATCTTTTAATGTTTTTGTTTGTTACTTCAACTGCACAATTCATCTTTGGTCTGTAGGTAGTAGAATTGTGATGCTTTATGTTGAATTGCTCACAAGCAGCTTTCATCATTTTATTGTTCAAGTTTGTAGTATTATCGGTAATTATCCTTTCAGGTAAACCATACCAACATATGATCTCTTTACTCAAAAACTTACAGATAACAGATTGAGTGACATTGACATAGGAAGCATCCTCTACCTACTTAGTGAAATAATCGATAGCTACAAGGATGAAACGATGACCATTCGAAGCTTTCGGATGGATTTGTCCAATTACATCCATGCCCCATATGGAGAAAGGCCATGATGATGTCATGACATGAAGCGGATGAGGTGGAACATTTATTTTATCTCCGTAAATCTGACATTTATGACATTTTCTGGCATAATTAATGCAATCACTTTCCAGTGTGGACCAGAAATATTCGCATCTCATTATCTGTCTCGACATCATATGTCCATTTGCATGTGTTCCACAAACTCCATCATGTACTTCTTATATTATCATTTTTGCCTCTTCAGCATCGACGCACCTTAACAGAACTTGATTATGGCTTTTCTTGTATAAGACCTCCCCGTCAAGGACGTATCCAGCTGACATCCTTATAATAGTTCTTTTATCGGTTTCAGTGGCTTCCTCTGGATAACTCCGATGCTTGATATACTGCAAAACATCGTAGTACCAAGGCTTAGCGTCCTTTACTTCTACAATTTTGTAGCAATGAGCCGGGTACTCATACGACTGCATGTCAATTGGCATCATTTCAGATTCCCCACCAAGTTTGAATACGGCTACCAAGGTAGCCAAAGCATCAGCCATTTGATTTTCTTCTCTTGGCACATAGTGGAAGGTGACTTCATCGAATTCTTCGAGCAGATCCAGTATTAGCTTACGAAATTCAATCAGTTTTGTATTTTTGGTTTCCCATTCTCCACGGAGCTGATAGATTACTAATGTTAAATCTCTGTATACCTGCAATGTCTTTATATTTTGCCCCAGTACAACTCGAATTCCCAAGACACAAGCTTCGTATTCTGTCATGTTGTTGGTGCAGTCGAAGTTCAATCTGCTGGTAAATGGGTAGTGACTCCCTTCTGGAGAAATCAGTATTGCCCCGATACCATGTCCTAATGCATTTGATGCCCCATCGAAATACATTCTCCAAGAACCGTCTGTTGAAGTACTTGTTTCTTCTAAGGATAAAGCCATTAAGTCTTTGTCTGGGAAATCAAAGTCTAATGGCTCATAATTTTCATCGGTTCTTCTTGCTAAGAAATCTGATATGGCACTTCCTTTGTTTGCTTTCTGGTTCACATACTCGATGTCGAATTCAGACAAGAGCATCTGTCATCGGGCTAACCTTCCAGATAAAGCAGGTACACCCATCATGTATTTTAAAGGATCTAACTTGGAAATCAACCAAGTGGTGTGATACAACATGTATTGTTTGAGTCTTTTTGTAGCCCAAACTAAAGCACAACAAACCTTCTCAATAGGGGAATATCTGACCTCGCAATCGGTGAACTTCTTGCTCAGATAGTAGATGGCTCTTTCTTTTCTTCCGGATTCGTCATGTTGACCCAGAACACATCTCATTGAGTTCTCAAATATGGATAGGTACAAGAACAGAGGTTTGCTTGGGATGGGGGACATTAAGATAGGAGTATAAGACAAGTACTCTTTCACCTTCTCGAATGCAATCTGACAGTTTTCATCCCATGCCCCAGGGTTGTTCTTTCGGAGAAGGCGGAAGATTGGATCACACTTATCGGTTAACTGAGATATAAACCTAGCTATGTAATTCAATCTGCCTAGAAAACCTCAAACCTCCTTTTATGTTCGAGGTAGAGGTAGATTCTGGATAACCTTAACTTTGTCGAGATCAACCTCAATGCATTTTCTGCTGACCACGAAGCCTAACAGTTTTCCGGATGTTACCCCAAAAGTACACTTATTAGAGTTCAGACGAAGCTAGAACCTCCTTAATCTCTGGAATAGCTTTCTCAAATGCTCGACATGTTCATTTTCGGTCTGTGCCTTGACAATCATGTCGTCGACATAAACCTCGATTTCTTTGTGCATCATGTCGTGAAACAGGGTTACCATGACTCTCTGATATGTTACCCCAGTATTCTTTAATCCGAAAGGCATCACTTTGTAACATAAAGTTCCCCATATTGTGACAAAAGTGGTCTTCTCCATGTCCTCAGGGTGCATCTTGATCTGATTGTACCCCGAAAATCCATCCATAAACGAGAAGTAGTTGTTCCCGGCTGTATTGTCTACCAGAGTGTCTATGTGTGGCAGAGGAAAGTTATCTTTGGGACTTGTCTTGTTAAGGTCCCGGTAATCGACACACATACGTATTTTCCCGTCCTTTTTCGACACATGCACTATGTTGGCCACCCACTCTGAATATTTGGCCACTTGAAGAAAACCAGCATCAAATTGCTTTTTTACTTCTTCATTGATCTTAAGGAGCATTTTTGGTCGCATCCTTCTCAGTTTCTGCTGCACTGGTTTGTATTATGGTTTAATTGGCAGTTTGTGAACTACCATATCTGTGTCTAACCTAGGCATGTCTTGATACAACCGGGCGAACACTTCTCTGTACTCCTAAAATAAAACTATCAAGTTGTGTCTTGCTTCCGTCAAAAGAGTTGAGCCGATTTTAACTTCCTTTCAATCTTCCTCAGTGCCCAGATTCAAGATTTCAATTGTCTCTTTATGAGGCAGTATTTGTTTATTTTCTCTTTCTACCATTCTCAACAATTCGGTAGGCAAGTTGCACTCCTCTTCAGTGTCGCACACATCAAATTCCCCGAGGCAAATGGCCGATTCAAAATCCACCTCCGGATCAGGATCATTAGTGCCTACATTATTGTTGTCTGGGGATCTGAAAGAAGGGAACATGTGCATGTGTGAGATGAAAATATCCCACACGAAATAGTCAAGAATTAAATTCGAGAGAAAATGGAAATGAAGTATCGGAATAAAGAAGATAGATAATGAATTCAAAAGGAAATAAAGGAAAATTTGTTTGCCATGAGAAAAGAAAAATGCATCTTTTATTGAACTTAAACCAAATGTTTATTCACCCTTACAAAAGATCACCTATTGCCCCGGGTATAGGCAAATAGGGATAGTTCGAATATTACTCTGAAAAACTCTTGTAAACCGCAGGTAGTTCTTTGACCGACCAACAGTTAGGCACGAACCCAGGCGACAGAGGGCATATCCCAGATCTATCTTCGTTGTCAGCATTTCCAGTGGTTATAGCATTGATGCTCAAATCTTCCAAAGCCGCTTCTAAATATGACAAGGTGGTCTCAAATACATAATCACATGACTTGAATGTGTGGCAGAGAGGCGGGAATGTCATGGGTTCTCATTGAAGTTCACTTCCAGTCAACCTAGCTAGTCTTCTCTCTCGGTTCTTCTGAACTTCTTTTCTCTTCTGATGGTAACTAGGCTGAAAGCCGAGCCCAAACCGATCTGGCTTTGAAATAGAAAGGACCGAATCAATCCTTCTTTGCAGAGACTTCCTAAACCCTCTTCCAGTCCTGACGCCTTTTCCCAAAGTCTACATGATCTCCATTCTAGTACACTTGGAAAGTCGGGGTTTAGGAATCATTATTCTTTATGTAAAAAAGGTGGCATTCACAAATTCCAAGGAGCAGAATGAACACTCCACCGCTTCCTCGTCTACTTCGATGTATGGGGCCTCCGTGGTCACACTTGCCACAATATATTCCTCAGCATTGATAATTACTAAGGCCCCGTTCGTTAATGGCACCTCAATTTGCACCTAAATAGCAGATGATGCTTTTCATTTGACAGCAGAAGAATTTTCTTGTGGTCTGGGTAGAATTCCGGGTGAAATAACCACCTGTGAGGTTGGTGATGTGGTTTCCCCCTCGGAGGGACTTCCCCCTACTGCACTGGCTTGCTGCAAACCCGATAACTTGGCCACGATTTGGTCGACCAAGGACTCCTAGTTTTTCTTGATGGACTCCAGGGTGCTCTGACTGTTTTGAGTCATCTTATCTTCTAGTTTTTTTTGCAGTCTTGTCATGTTTTTCTCAAGTTTTTTCATTTTGGCCTCCATTTGTCTCTTATTTGCTCGAGTATTATGCGGATGATGCGTATTTAATGCTTGCGATGGTAAACTTGGTGTTTGCTCTTTCTCTTGTAAAAACATGGAAAATATGAAAATAAAAATACAAAGTATGTAATGCGTGATGTATGTAATTTATAGGCATTAATCCAGAAAAGTGTCCATTATTATAAATAATCCTTATTTAGACAAAAATGTTTTATCTTGTAAGAGATAAAAACAATCAAAGGTATGTTCGAACTAAATCTTCTAGACATCCATCTGAGATACTTTCTTTCATGACTCGGCTGCTTCTTTGATCATCTTCTTATAATTGTCACCGTGATACATAAACTCTGATGTAAATAATCCATATGTTGCTGGGACAAACTGACGTGCCTCATACTGTCTAAGTGCCAACAACGGAGCATACCCTACTGTACCCCAAAGTCCAAATAGGGTCATAGTGTCAGAATTCCCACACTTGAAAAGAACATCACTGAGGAACAACCAGGGGGCTCTCCAGGTAATATCCCGGTCCTGAAGATGCGTGAAGACCTTCATCCATTTTTCCTTTGTAGCACCTTCATGCCATTTCATAGTGATGAACTCTCCCAAATGTGAATAAGTGGTGCTAAATAAGCGGTAAGCAACCCCGTTAGTCTTCTAGAAGTGGTTGTGAATCCAGACTTGAAGGAGCTGAACACACTCAATGAATCTTCCTCCACCAGCTCTTCTGCAATGATTAAGAGAACGAAAGGTTTCGGCTAAGATCGCAGGTGCTGGGTTTACTCGCTTCGGAAGTTGCTCAAATAGTTCCACCACAACAGCATCAATGTATCCCAAAGTCTTCGGGAATATAATCAGACCATACAGACCCAGTGCAAACAGGTCTATTGCCTTCCACTCATCGGGATGGTCCTTCATCAGTTGTTTGATATGAAGCCAGACAATTCCTTCCCCACTGCCTTTATATCAAGCTCGGTCTGTTACCCATCTTTCGTCAACCCCGATAACCTTGGCTAGTGCAATCTTGAAAGACTGACTCTTGATGTGTTTAATATAAACTCGCTCCAGTCTGATATTTTCACAGTGCAACAATGTAGTGTACTCTTCAATGGTGGGTACCATGTCCTCCTGATTAAAAGTGAAACAACTGTATCCCGGGTTCCAGAACTGAACCAAGGCTCTGATCAAGGGCTCATCAGCCTTGATATGAAGCAACAATGCAATGTCACCGTACCGTTGGTTAAACTTTTGTTTCTGATCATTCTTCCAACTGCCCCAGATATCCCGAAGCTCTTGCACGTCGTTCTACTTTAGGCTAATATAGGCGTAGCTAACCAGTTCTGACACATAGCTTCCTTGAAGACTGTCTCCCTTTTCCTTCTGAGTCTTCTCAGACCATAATCGTACCTTAGGATTTTTAATCTCTTGTATTACAACACCTTTATCCATTAATTCAGATTATTATGTGTAACAAACACCTTTTAGGGATCAATGACATTTTGTTATGATGCAAATGCTAAAAAACAAATACAAAGGCAAACAGTTAGTAAAATTAAAACCAATAGAAATGAATAAAAAAAATGACAAGAAAAAAAAACATAAGGAAAAAAAACATGGTTAGGAAAGAAATGTTCTATGTTTTGGAATGTGGTTTTAGGATAGACTCTATTTCTTCAAAGTCTCCTGGTTTAGGTTCTAAAAACGGTACCCGAGTTCTCCTTGCTGGCGTCCCCTTAGGCTTGCCAGATCCTTAGTACTAAACCCATCACAAGCTTGTGTGGATTAAGTTAAACTCGATAGGACACATTCTCTTATGCCCATACGGAGAATAAATTCACACGAAGAAATAAGGTATATGAATCCCGAAGGCTACTTGCTAGGCCCATACGGTGAATAAATTCACACGAAGGCGTCATTTTCACCCTCACTTAAAACGGGTTTGGAGCTCGGGTTTAGAGCCTTAGATAAAAAAATCTTTAAGGGTTGAAATCATGAGAAAACGATTAGTACAACTATTTACCCGAAAATATAATCAAAAGTAAGTAAAAAATGATCTAAATATTATCTTAAAATTTAAACTTACCCTTTTCGTTAAAAAAACAACTGAAAATTACCTTAACCTGACTCACTTTCCTGTCCCCAACGGAGTCGCCAAGCTGTTGTAACCGTCTTTCGGTTGGACCCCGAAATTGGGCTTCGACGTGAATTAATGAATTGGGAGTCGCCACCGATCATTTACTTTACGAAAAACAGGTTGATCGGATACCTTATTTCTTATCTGATCTGCGTCTTACCAGAGATATGTCAGATTCGAGAGTCGGTTACAATCAAGGAAAGGTTAACACCTTTGAACTGTCCTTTCGGTACTACGTAATTTCCAATTGTCATTAAGTAAGAAAATTGAAAGTTTAACTCAAAATGTAAAATTACGATCCAAAATTACTTACCCTAATTCGATTTGAAAATATCCCTTTTAAAAAAGGCGAGAAACACGTTAGAGGAAAAAGACAATGAAAGTAAATAAATAAAACAAAGAAAACACATAAATAACACGAATAAACAAAATGAGATAAAAAAATAAGAAAATAAAAGAAGTAAAAATAAACAAGAAAAAAATGACGTAACGAATCTAATAATAAAAAACAACTATAAAAATAATGAGGAAAAATACAAAGAAAATAGAAAATAAATGAAAAGAAAAAGCAATCACATAAAATAAATAAAAAATGTAAGTTAAAAGTAAAATAGTAATATCAATTATAATTATGATTATAAAAATATAAATATATATGTTAATAGCAAAAATAAATAGTAATAATACTAGTTATATGAATATATATATATATATATATATATATATATATAACAATTTATAAACAAGGTATAAAAAATAATAGTTATAATAAGTATTAAAATAAAAAAATAGTAATAAATAAAAAAAGAAATAAAAGAAATTATAAAAAATATGAAAATTAAAGTAAATATATATATATATATATATATGTATATATAAATAAAAAATAAAGTATAAATGAAATAAAAAATAATAATAATGGAAATATAAGTAAACATATATGATATTAGTAGGGGATTAAATTGAAATAAAAACTAAATCAGTGGGCAAATGTCAAAGAACATTGAAGATTAAAACCGGCAAAAATAAAAAAAAAATATTTTTTTAATAGATTTTCGTACCCTCATTCCAAAAATGTAATTTGTTTTTTGCGAAATAGCCTCTAGGGAACGTAGATCTGAAATCAAAGTTTCAAAAAACTCCTTCCGGATCATCGGCTAAAACATTTGTCTTTGGGGTTCTCAAGCAAAAAAACGCGATTAACAACGTATGCAAGTGAAGAGTAAAGAGAAACAAACGAAAGGTAAAAAAAAGCTTTCTACTTCGAATCGTTTACAATAGCCTCGAAATCACTTTTTCTTTTCTCATATTTTTCTAGCATTCCTTTTGTGCAACTCGTGTGTGTTCTAGTATGATAATTACAAGGCTTATTTATAGTACTAAAAAACCCTATTTTAGACGAGTATTTGAGTCCTAATCCAACTCTATTCTAGATTAGTATTTGAGTCCTAATCCAACTCTTCTTTGTTGGTTACATGAAGATTCCTCAGTTGGTAGGACAAAATCTGGTGTCTTCATTAGGGAAGCAACCAAAATTCAAATTACACATTAAATAGCAGTTATCATTGCCCAGCATTTTCTACATACTAGGGAAGAACTAGTACCACTGATCCAAACGTCACTGAAAAGAGAAACAAGCAACGGCATGTGACAATAAGTGTGCTTATTCTATCAACCAAGAGACTGGCAGTTCAAAAATTATAAGCAAAACATGCTTTCTCTGATGTCTAAAGTGAATGCACGGTTTCACAGTGAAGAATACAAAACCATCAAAATAGGCTAACCTCCGGCTGGACCGTGATGCTCAGTAGTCAGATGGGGAAATGACATCATCAATCTTCAAAATCATCTTAACAACTTGTGTTGCAAGCAAGACCTGTTGCTGCTTCCCAATCAGTGTCTCAAAGACATTTTGCTCACACATATCATTAGTCCCAATATCGTTGCAGTCGATTCCGAAGTGCGGATTATTTTCCTGCACATCAGATATAAAACCAAAATTAATGATAACACTCCATGTAGGTGAAGATCATACAGGACTTAAGTCATCATTGTACTACTTATAAATTACCTTAATTTGTTGAGATTTCACTGCTGATAACGTCTCAATGGGTTGGAGCCCACTATTTTCAGCCAGAGCCATGGGGACAGCATCTAAAGCATCAGCGAATGCCCGGATTGCGTACTGCAGATAAAAAAATTGATAGAAAATATGATTCCACAACAGAAAGGAAATGAACTATTAGATGATTCAACGTGCCATCTTACCTGCTCAACTCCAGGATATTTATCTGAAGCTGTCTCTACCGCAATTGAGCAAGCAATCTCTGCTGAGCCACCACCGTAAACAATAGAATTATTGCGAATGAGATTCCTAGCCACACACAATGCATCGTGGATGCTGCGCTTTGTCTCCTCCACTATCATCTTGTTTCCTAAAGCACCGTCAAACACAGATGGAAATATTCTATGAGATACATATTCGCCTAACCATCTCAATTCAGCTTAGTACATTACACTCTGGTATACTCGTCACTTTGTTACATCAGTCCCTCTACAATAAACTTTCAAAAATGCCCAATCAATTCTGTATTGAACAGGAAAAATGTCCGGACATCTCAAAACAAGAATGCAGTACATTGCATTCTACTAAAATGAAAGTATGAAAATGTCTGTGAATGTGAAGAAAGTGTCATGTAAAGTGTAGCCTCAGATTACTCTTCAACCTATTCATTTTCTGTTGGTTATTGATTGTCAGTTAAAAATCCCTAAGTATTAGGATGTTAGGTTTAGTTTTTAAATTTTAAATTTGAATTAATTTGTTAGATTTTTCTGTTGCAGCAGATTCCTATAAGAGCAGATTTTACTTTGTAAATGAAGTGAGAAGAAAATAAAAATTCAAGAGAGATTAGTTTCTCTAAAATTTAAGAGAAGTTGCTTAGAAACTATCCATATTTTAAACCCATGGCTTGTACCTTTCCTGTTCGAGTGTTTGGATCATCTGTTTTTGTCCATATTCATAAACAATATCGAGGTAAGTTAGATCCGCGGGCTATTAAGTGTGTTTTCCTTTGCTATTCCTCTCTTTAAAAAGGATACAAATGCTATTCCCCTACTACTCGGAAGTTTTTATGTCTCCATAGATGTTACATTTCATGAGTTTGAACCTTAATTTTTCCAATTCTGAAATTCAGGGGGAGAGTTTGAATGAATTTCAGCCCCAACAGATTCTTTTACCCCTCGATGTACCAATTACCTCTTCTTTTTCCAATCCTCTACCAGCTTTACCACAACCACCAAATGAAACATCCTCCCTACCCGAAACTGCTTCATCTCAGGCTGAAGCAAGAGAACTCAGTGTCTATACGAGGAGGAAGAAACGACCTACTACACAGCTTAGGACTGCTCAAGAACTTGATCCGGTTCCAATTTCCTTGAATGATGGTTCGCCGTTAGGAGTCGGTTATGTTTTTATCTTTAAAGATTTATGTACTGCATTCGAATATTTTTGGTTTTTAGTGATGTGAGGCTTGGGATAGGTGTGAGTGGGTTTCGAATAGGGTTGACCTTGTAATATTTGGATGTTTAAGGGGGACTTAGAGATTTTATGGTTTAGATGTGGTGTATGTATCTTATTGGGGTGTTTTCATACAAAGTGTAATGGTTATATTATTTAATACATCATGAGGTACTCTTTTCCTCCTTCCAATATTCATTGACATTCGTTTTAGTATGTTGATGATTATGAAGGGGGTTTTTAACGAGGCCTCCAATTCTTATAAAAAAATGATGATGAAGGTATTACAGCTTTGAATGATACAACTATTGCTCCTTTAATTGATTCTTCTGACTTGCCTATTGCTCAAAGGAAAGGTGTCAGGAGTTGTGTACTTAATTCAGAAATATGTGTAATGTGGGAGGCTTATGCCGGCATTCAAGGCCTTTACATCCAAGGTTGATACTTGCTTCATTCCTAAACTATTGATGAGGCCTTAAAGAACCCTAGGTGGAGAAAGGCTGTTGAAGAAGAGATTAAGGCATTGGAGGCAAACAAGACTTGGATTATGACTGATTTACCTTCCGGGAAGAAGGCTGTAAGTTGCAAGTGGATATTCACAGTTAAATATAATGTGGATGGAAGTATAGAACGATTCAAGGCTAGGTTGGTGGCAAGAGGGTTCACTCAGTCTTACGGGATTGATTATCAAGAAACTTTTGCACCAATTGCAAAACTCAACTCCTTTCGCATATTGTTGTCTCTTGCTGCAAATTTAGACTGGCTACTTCATCAGCTTGATGTTAAAAACGCTTTCCTCAATGGTACTTTGGAGGAGGAAGTGTATATGGTGGCTTATATTCGACTTCTAATTCGGGACAAGTTTGCAAACTTCTAAAGTCTTTATACGGCCTTAAGCAGTAGCCACGTGCTTGGTTTGAGAGGTTTACCAAAGCTGTTTTAGACTTCGTCCATCGTCAGTGCCAGGCTTATCACACTCTGTTTGTTAAAACAACTTTTAGGAACAAGAAGGCTATTCTAATAGTCTATGTTGATGATATAATCATCACTGTTGATGATTCTTATGAAATTTCGAGGTTGAAGAATTTCTTAGCAAAGGAATTTGAAACTAAGGACCTTGGTTCCTTAAAATATTTCTTGGGTATGGAAGTGGCTAGAACAAGTAGTGGCATTGTGATAAATCAAAGGAAGTATGTTTTGAATTTTTTATTTGAAACTGGTATGATGGGCTGCAACCCTGCTGAGACATCCGTGGAGTACAACCTAAAGTTCAGAACTGATGGTGGTGGTTCTTCAATTGACAAGGGACACTATCAATGATTAGTATGCAAGCTCATTTATCTATCTCTTACAAGGCCGAATATTGTTTTCTCGGTGAGCATCGTAAGCCAATTCTGAGTGATCCTAAGGAGGAACATCTAGAGGCAGTAATCAGGATCTTAAAATATTTGAAAATGACACCTGGTCATGGAATGTTTTTTGCGAAAAACTCAAGTAGAAAGGTTGAAGTCTTCACAAATGCAAGTTGGGCTAGTGAACTCACATCTAGGAGGTCAACAATCGGGTATTGTGCTCATGTTTTGGGCAACTTAGTGACGTGGAGAAGTAAAAAACATAATATGGTCTCAAGGAGTAGTGCAGAAGCTGAGTTCCGAGCCTTGGCTCAAGTGCTTTGTGAAGGAATTTGGATATAACAATTGTTAGTAGAATTGGGGTTGAATCATGACACCAGCTTTGACCTCAATTGTGATAATCAATTGATAATTAGTATTGCAAATAATCCGGTGCATCATGATAGGATGAAGCATGTGGAGATAGATCGCCATTTCATTTCAGAGAAGGTTACAAATGGGACTGTCAAACTTAACTACATTTCTACTCACCAACAGCTAGCTCATATACTCAACAAGGCACTTCCAAGAACCACCTTTGATGAGCTTACATCCAAGCTGGGGCTCTACAATGTATACTCCCCAACTTGAGGGGGAGTGTTTGTTATTGATTCTGTTAGTTAAAAATCCCTAAGTATTAGGCTTTTAGATTTAGTTTATAAATTTTAAATTTGAACTAGTTTGTTAGATTTTTCTGTTGCAGATTCCAATAAGAAAAAGTAGATTTTACTTTGTAAATGAAGTGAGAAGAAAATAAAAATTCAAAGAGAGTTTAGTTTCTCTGAAACTCACATTTTCCTATTTGTTTATCCAGTTTTAAAGTAAGCTGGTAAAAAGCTCGCTTCGAAACTGTCTCCAATAAAGATGTCAAGTGGCCTCTACCGTATAGACCGGGAAGCATAACAATAATTTAGGAAGATGAAAATAGGCAGAAGTAATTCACATAGTAGACCAAGTGTGTAGGCTTAACCCAATTCAATATACAAAATCAAATCACAATGACATGAACACTCGTATTGTTTCTAATGATTGGTTAGAGAACTATATTATCAGTTGAACAGAAGGTGATAAACCACAACTCAATTGCAACCAATTAGGAGGAGGAGAAAGAATCTACCTCCACGAATAAATATGGTTACGGCCCTAGAATTCGCACAGTGCTCAATGTACAACATTTTATCTTTTGTGGTGCCGAACGACTTCTCCCTGACCAAACCAGCCTAGAAATAGAAAAAAGGAGCAAATAAGTGTTTCCTGTAAGATACAGATGATATGCCAGGAGAGTTAACATAAGATTTCAAAATATAAAAACTTTATCAAACATGAATAGCTATAGTCCAAAACTCCAAAATGAGCAAAGCTCCAATGCTTGCTTAAACCCAAAGTCATTAAATGTCGAATCATCTCACTTGAGCTTTCACCAGTTTCCCTCTATGGCTCTATCTAATGCAAGAAAAAAAATTCCAAACGAGGAATTTATCTAGCACACATTTCTAAGCTATGTAGGATATAGATAAGGAAAGAATTAACATACCCTTCCGAGCTTTTCTGGGGTCAACTCCTGGAACCTTGGCACAATCCTTCCACCTACAGAGATAAATATTATTAGATTACGCGTTACAGGTTAAGGTTGCACATTCTACTGGATACTAAATATTAATCTAACATGAACTTTGCTAGCCTGACGCCAAATGAAAAATAAACTAAACAGAAAGTCAGAAAGAAACCTGTAGCTATTGCTATAAGCTCCAATTCCACACCACCCACCCATCTGACAGCAGGCAAATTCCGGTGCATCAATAAATGATTTGCCTCATCATCGAACCCCCACTGACAGATAACCAAAGTGGCACCAACATCCTGAAACAACAGTACAATAAGAACAAGCTGTCCAACCCCATCCCAAAATTACTAGGGGGCCAAAATAATAATTCCAACCCCAGCCCCTCCAATTAAAAAAAAACACGATAACAAAAAAAGGATAATCTGAAGCAAGAAAGAATGTGAAAGATCAACTTGAAAATTGAAAAAGGAAATTCCTCAGAACACCAATCTGTGGCCATACCTTGCATTTTTGAACCATGTCATCAAATATTTTGCTCTTGCTGACGCAGAGTCTGAAACTTTTCCCCTGTATCAATCTCTACCTTATGTTTAGTCTTTGGCTTAGGTGGCTCAAATGGGCAAGTTAATATTGCAATTTTTGCATCTTCAATTTGTTTCGGCATCTGAGGATGACTCATGTCCTTATCAACAGTAATCCCATATATTAGCTCAGTATCTTCCAATTTTCCTCCAACTTTTCCCTCAAACTTGATCAGATCTAAATTGACATCTTTCCTCTCTAGATCAGCAACAGAAAGAACTGCTTTAACACAAATTTCAGCCAAAGCACGCTTGCATTGGTTCACACTACAAAACAGTTAAAAATGGTTACACATTTACGATACATAAATATAACAAAATACATCACTTTAGCATTTGATTCACAGAAAATTATCGTTGAACATTTTTCATGAATCACGATATGAGGAGTCGTCACTTCTCAATACTCACAAGTCACAAGTTTATGAATTGCTAGCTGACGGCAAGTGTTATTTAATCGAGCCACATGCCACCAAATTTAGTTTCCAGAATTCTATATGAGAATAAATACAGACTACAGAGAGTCAATTAATTGCATTTAACATCATAATGATAACAGCCAGGATCATCTAATCTGATTGGCAATGCAGGTGGAGGAGAAAGGATATCACAATTACTAGACATATAGGAAGGCTGGCATATACATATGAATTAGCCTTCACTCGGAAAACCAGCATCTTGAAACAAACAAGACAAAATTTTCTCCTTATCGCAGAGTAAAATGCAAGAAAAAGTTTAGCCAGGCAACATAAGAAGCCAGAATTATCCTGTTATAGTTGTAACAATAATGTTCTTAGTAATGTACTATTGTGATCTGAACATTGCTAAGTGAAATAGAAACTGTATATGGTACAGCAAAAGACCACTAAAAATAAAAGAGCTTGAAAACTAACATTTTTAGGACAGAGAGGTCATGCAAGTTTGAATTAAAGGCTCTAAATTTGCAGGTCCGAAATCAAACTTTTGAGCTATATGTTCCAAATGTTCAACAGCTATTCTAGAAGCCATTTCATAACCCTCTGCAATCCGGATGGGGTGAATCCCACGTTCTAATAACCGCTCTGCTTGCTCTAGAAGTGCCCCAGCCAGGACGACAACACCAGTTGTTCCATCACCAATTTCATAATCCTGACTTCGAGACAGCTCAACCATCAGCTTAGCAATTTGATTGTCTACATCCATCTGCTCCAATATCGTTGCCCCATCATTAGCTGGCAATACCGAACAAGTAAAAAAAGAAGATATCAGGGAACTTTGAACACAATAAATGTACAATTCCACTAACAATTCCAACATCCTTAAATTTCACATTTACTTCGGAAACATAAACTTCAAGAAGTTGTGCCCTATACTGGCAGAACTATTGGCGATCAAGAGAGGGTTGCATCTTCTTGAAGAATCAGGATCTGCCCTAAGTCAGAGGATTATTCTAGAATCGGATTCTAGTAATGCATTGAAGTGGATTAAAAATCCGGATTTATGCACCCCTATGTTTCAGTCCTTGGTGAAGGATATAGCTTCTCGTATGGAGGGACAGGATATTATTACAAGGCATATCCTGAGAGCAGCTAATTGGGAAGCGGATAAGTTAGCTAAAGATGGTATAGGTTGATTAATAGGTTATGTGTTTTGTGTGTTAAGGTGTAGGGAAATGTTTGTTTTACTGTAGGGTGTTTGTTTTCAGTCTTATGTAATCAGTGTTATGTTGTAACAGTAGGTTGTTTGATACTGACTGTATATTATTGTTCTGATTAATAAAATTCATAGGCACTCTTTTCCTCCTTCCAATGTCCTTATGTTACTGTTGCAACATGGAGGGTATGAAGGGGGTTTTAATGAGGCATAATTTTCTATCAAAAAAAAAAGAAGATGTGCCCTGAAACATTAAGCTCATGGCTCTAGTTCAATATATATATATAGTAAACAATTCAAAAATTAGTGAAGTTCCATAAAGTGACTACGAATCCTAAAAGTGCCACTAAAACCTGCACTTATCTTCAAAATAGCTTAATCTATCAAGCTTCACGTTTCAAAGTTCAAGTCAAACAGATCCAAAACCGAAAATCATCTGTCGAATTACCCTAATCGAGTAACAGAAACTTAACTATCAAGTAAGAAATTAGAAAAACGGAGAAAAAGGTGGAAAGGAGCTAACTGATGGTGATATCGCCGTCGGGGCTTTGGAGCATTTTTCCATGCCTTTAGGTCCGAGAGAGGTTCGGAGGATCCGACCGACATCTTTGCCAGCGGAAATATTGGCTTTTTGAGCTTCGAGCCCTCTAAGCCTCGTTTTCTGCTCTTGCTCTTTCAGAATAACGAATGGCCTCCCGTACTCGTCGAACGCCAACGCCAACGCCATTTTCCTCGATTTTCACTGTTTCGTTGCCGATCTACGCTTCTTCTTCTACCTCAGTGTTTCAGTCCTTGGAAAGGAGAAGAACGTGGAAGGTTTTCAAAGACCTAATCAGTGGTTCCTTTGTAATTTATGCACCTGTCGGCTTCATTTTCTCGATAATGAATTTTAATTTAGTATTTTAATATAAAGGATAGACTGATAGAATTCATAAATGATCATTCACTATTTTGAAATATTCTTTTAACATTAAATTTTTAAAAATTGTAAAAATAACACATGGCCTCATGAAATGCATTAAGAGAAAGAAAATGCATGGTTTTTCGGAATCCTCTCTCCCGATGTGGGATCTCAACTCTTGCTTTCCCCTTCATATCCATCTCCAATCTCTCCCCCCCCCCCGGTAATATTTCATCGCTTCTCATTCGTTAAACAAATTCTTCATTGATATCCTCAGCCATAATCGCTCTTCTCAAAATTTCAATCATTTCTTCTTTTCCCAGCCAATCTCCAGTAATACCGTGTGAAGAAACCCTCAACATTTTTCAAAAATGGCACGTCAAATCGGTTTTCTTTTTTTGCTCTTAAGCATTGCCTTTGTTGCGTTGGTTTCCGCCGAAGATAAGGCGTCGCCTACGAGCAGCCAGAGAGGAATCCCCATGCCCAGCCATGATCATGATGTCATCGGTAACAGCGGCGATGAAGGTGCACCGAGCGGCGGTCCCGTTGGAGCTGGTGATATTGTTGCAGGCCCTCTTGGCAGTGGGAGTCATTCATCTCCTTCTGAGGCTCCTACCGGCCGTGCAACCATCACCCAAGGTGGCTTCTCCGCCGTCTGTGGAGCTATTAGCGTCGTCGTTGGCTACTTCTTCTTCTAATTATCTAAATTAGTTTCGATTACTATTCAGGTTTTATAGCTTTGGTATGAGAAATTAAAATTTGTTTCTTACTGAAATGTGATTGCTTTATTAGTTTGCAATCATTCGATTGTTTTATTAGTTTGCAATCATTCGATTGTTTTGTAATTAGATGTTTGCATCAGGCTGATTTGATTTGATTTTTTAAGAAATCAATCAATAAAAGATGGGAGGTTATCTTACATTAACATTTTTTTAATTATTTATATAATATTAAATTTGAACACATCGTATAAACGTTTATCGTCAAATAAACAATACTATTTTATAATCACTATTATACTAATTAAAAAATAATTGCCAGCCTTAAAAACATAACAAATTTAATTAAAACTGATGATCTATTCCATTCGATTAATTTCCAAATATATCAAGATGATGAGTATGATGTCCGGATTTACATGATGAATTCTGTTGACTCTGATAGGAAGATATGAGAAAATGAATCTCCATTTTGCCACATTATATTTCCTTATGGGTCTCAAAAATCATTAAACACATAAATTTTTCAACACATTAATTAATTTATATTTAAAATTTAGTAAAAGATATCATATTGCTAAGCATTAAATAATGCGATACCGGTTTTGTTATTGTTGTGCATAACAAAACCGGTAAAAATTACCGAAAACATCATTATTTCTACCGGTTTTGTTATTATTTGACATTTTATCGGGTTTATTAACAAAACCGGTAAAAGCGCTATCGGTTTTGTTATTTTTTTTTATCGATTTTGTTATTGTTGGGCATTTTACCGGAAATGTTAAAAAACATTGATGTTTTAGGTATAAATAATAATGTTTTAGTTAATTTTTACCAGTTTTGTTATGCCCAACAATAACAAAATCGGTAAAAATAAACTTTTTTAATGATAAAATTAGTAAACACAAAGATTTGTTTTCAACATTTGATCAAGTATGGTTCTCAAACATAAAGTTTTCAAAACAGTGTCGATGCATTTATTGTAAGTATCAATCATCAAAACATCGAAGCCAATTATTATAAAGTAATAGGTAAAATATAACAGTTTAATGAGAGAATAGGTAAATATATGTGTCGATACATTTTCTAAAAGTATCGACACATATGTTACATCGAAACCGATAATTATAATGTAATAGGTAAATTTACAATATAACCGGTATAAATATACCGGTTTTATAAGAGAATAGGTCAACATAATGTATCGACACAAATTTAAAAAGTGTCGATACATTTTGTCCAGAATGAATGTCAAACGAGGTGCACGCATAAAGTGTCGATACATTTATTAAAAGTATCAATCTCAAAAACATCGAAATCCATAATTACAATGTAATAGGTAAATTTACAATGTACCCGATAGAAATATACCAGTTTTATGAGAAAATAGGTAAACATATGTGTCGATACATTTTCTAAAAGTATCGAATGTATCGACACATATGTTACATCGAAACCGATAATTATAATATAATACATAAATTTACAATGTAACCGGTATAAATATACTGATTTTATGAGATAATAGGTCAACATAATGTATCGACACAAATTTAAAAAGTGTCGATACATTTTGTCCAGAATGAATGCCAAACGATGTGCACGCATAAAGTGTCGATACATTTATTAAAAATATTGATCCCAAAAACATCGAAAACGATAATTACAATGTAATATGTAAATTTACAATATATCTGGTAAAAATATACCAATTTTATGAGAAAATAGGTATACATAATGTATCGACACGTTTTAAGTTTGTGTCAATACTTTTTTCCAGAATGAATGCCCAACGAGGTGCACACATAAAGTGTCGATACATTTAAAATTGTATCGAACCCAAAAACATCGAAACCGATAATTATAATGTAATAGGTAAATTTACAATGTTACCGATATAAATATACTGGTTTAGTTAGAAAATAAGTCAATATAAACATTACCTATTACATTATATAAGCGCTACCTAATATGTTATTGTACTTGATAATATTTTCGGTTAAATGCCTATTTTATTATATAAACGCTACCTATTACATTATATAAACGCTACCTAATATGTTATTGTACTTAATAATATTTCCGATTAAATGATATAACATAACCGGTGTAAATTTTAACCGGTCACTTGTTTAACCAGTTACACCGTTTTTTAACCGCCGCACAGCAGAATTTTCCATATTCTCCAATTCAATTCTAGATGGATACCATTTTGAATTTTCAACTTGAAACAAGACTCTGGATATAAATGGAAACATGTGTTATCTTTTTATTCTTTCTTTTACATTTCAATTCCTTACAATACCTTTTTCCAGACAAAATTCTCAAGCACAACTAATACTAAACTTACCTTTCTATAGGTCTTGATTTACGACTTCAGTACATATGCACACAAATGACGAATGAAAGATACAATTCTGTGGCAACAAGTCTCCATTGCGTGTGTTGCCTTTTTCAGCTTCCAGAAAAGAAAAAATGCATGAACGCGACAAATATATACGAATTGCCAGGTCTACACTCGCATCGCCGGCATCATAACCCTTGATCGAGCTAAAGCAGCAGAGAGTTTACCAATGTAAAGTGACACATCAGGTGGAATTATGCCCCTTAACCTATACATAAGGCTCATCGATGGAACCTTGTGTTTCAGATCAAGGTCAAGGACTAACCTTTCATTGTTCTCGGACATTCAATGCTCGATTCGGCTCTGTCTACTGAACCAAAAACGTGTTTGAAAAGACTGATCAATAAAGCCGAATCCGAGTTTGGATGGAACTCCGACATATGGGGCAGACTTGGAGGTCCTCTCCACATTCGCAACAAGTCTGTCAAGTTTTAAGGAAAAGAGGGGGAAATATGTCAACACTCAGTCTTGACATACATATAGATTTATCATTGTTGTTCCGACCCTTTATTTTTCTCGAGGTAGTTGCCTTTAGAAATATTGTTATCAGAATACGATCCTCCAAAGATTTTCCAAATATATGTCGAATCTTGAAAGAAATTGAATATACTCGTGTTTGAAAGAGCAATGGGAATAAGAGAATAACTAACCTGATGTCCACAACCAAAGGCCATGTCCTTGGGATTACCAAGACAAATGGGGCAAACCTGTCAAGATTGAGAGAGAAAGGTTAAAAGAAGAAAGGATTGGTTAATGGATAAGAATATAGCACACAACTACAAATTTTTCCCTCTAAATTGAACCGAACCAACCGTTGTTACACTTTATAACTGGCCTAAAAGCGTAGCAGTTTCTTTGAAATGATGATGCTAATAGCTAGTGTTATTTCAACAGAAGGTTTCACACAGGGCCGGTTTTGGGCCTGTGCGGGCTGCCCAACCGTATAAGGCCCAATTTTTGTAAGGGCCTCCGAAATTTTTTAAGTCTTTTGTATATATATGTGTATTTAAGATGTTTGATCCAAGAATTTTCAAGTCCAAGGCCCACATTATTACATGAAGATATTTTTTACCACTATTTAACGTTTTCTTATAGTTATAATAAATTTTAAAATATTAGTGAACTTATTTATATATCTAATATTTTAGTTTTAAAAGACCTATTTTACTATTACTATTATGACATAGGGCCACCAAAATTTACAATACGGCTCTGGTTTCACATACCCGATTATCGTAAAGGGAGCTTGAAGATGGACCAGTGGCTGTGGTAGCAGTGTCGTCATAAGATGGACCTGTGGCTGTGGTAGCAGTTGTATCATATCCGGCATAAGGAGGTGTGTTTTTCTGAAAACTGTTTGAGCGAGAATACGGAGACGCATTCTGCTTAAAACTGCTGGATTGAGAATACGGAGATGTATCCTGCTGGAAACTGCTCGAGCGAGGATATGACTTCTGGTTGTTGAAAGATGATGCACCATACATGGGAGGTGGGAGAGGAACTCTCTCCGAAGTATTTCCCTTTCTTCCTCTGGTTTATCAAAAAAAGGAAAACAGTTAGAAATCGAAGATACATTACTAAACAGTTATAGAAATGGACATAAGTGTCGGTTGTGAAAATATATATCCGAGATTAATTATGAAAATATGTCCGAGATTAATTATATATTTAGTTTTTAAGTTTTTTTCCGGACATTTGAAGAGTCCTTGGAGAGGGTCATACGGCCCATTTGGATGCCCGTAAATGTGTAAAAAATGGGTACTTAAAGAATGAAGAGTCAAACATAGATAACAAATTTAATGATTACCCCAATAGGCCGAGCTCAATAGTTGCTTTGTACTGAGAAGGCATTTCCATCAAAGCTGAAAGCGCGAATTCTGCCTGCTTTCTCAATGGATCCGTATTCTTCGACATAATCTCAGTGAAGTTCACAAACTAGTAAGGCAAGAAAGAAGTGGAATTTAACAGAACATTCAACGGTACACAAAAGGGACGAGAACTGTGAAACATCCGAAGACTAGTAGTAAATTACCGTTTTGAACAATAACAAGAGACAAAAAATTGCTCACCTGAAAATTGTCGAAAGCACGAGCAGGGATGTTATCATCAAACTCTCTCATCATGTCCCAAGGACCATCACCGACCCCGACTAGGACAATCGACAAGGGGAATTCACTGCAACCAAATGAACCATGTTAGATCATATGTGTGAGACAATCTACAGCAAATGGCGAGTTAATAGTAGTCACCTTGCTCTAACGATTGCATCAATTGTCTTCTGCTCTTGAGGGCTAAGCTGACCATGCTGTGTATCAACACTTCTTGTCACCTAGGAGATATAAGAAACAAAAATGTCAGAAACTGAGATCTGAATTTCACCTGGACGTATATTACGGAATACTAGTAGTAAGAGTAAATTCAAAGTAGTCCTTCACAGTTTGTTAGTCCAATCAACATCAGAATGATTAGATGTCCTTTGGATCCAGAGAGAGTGTGAGTGTGTGACCCTATACCAAATGGATGCTAATACTAGTTTTTGCTTCCCTAAATTATTCGGAGTTACCTTATCGATATCAGCAGTAAACTCTCTCCTCCAAATTATTAGTAGATTATCTATCCTTGTAACAAAATATTTTATTATTTCAGTCAAGTTTTTCTAGCATGTGTCAGTTTGTCTATTCCTAGCCCAGTGTGTATATAATCAAATGCTGAAACAAGTAAACCCCGAGTTCTCCTCACATATTACCTGTCCATCAGCAATTATCAGCAAAACATGGTATTGACCACCACTTTGCTCGACGATAGTCATGGCCATTTCAATGATGGGTGCGAAAGACGTTGGTCCTGCCATAAACAAACATAAAAAGGCTGTTGTAAGAATCGACTGGTTTGGCTTCAAGATGAATATATAACAAGAATAATCCAAGGGATCAAGTATAGATCTGGTACCTGCAAGCCGAAGCTGGGGAACAATTTCTCTGTATCGTGAAAGCACCTCCTCAAATCCATTACAAAATCTCTCATCGGGATAGAAACTGAAAACATCTTGATCATGTGTTGATGCTGAAGACATATGAAGCGAATAAATTTAATAATCCAAATAGAGAAATCAAATTAATGTAGAATTGTAAGAAACACTTTCAATGAACTCTACCATCTCCAAATCCATAACACGGAATTAAGTTATCCTCATCAAAAGCGGATAAGCTCTGTCCGATAATTGATATAGCTTGTTCATATGGATTTTGGCCATTCCCAATGTGATGCAAACTTTTGCGGTTGAATGACCTTGCACCTGATTTCCAGCAAAGTTAAGTGATGTGTTGCAGGTCATTTAATAATGCTACTCATCGGATAGAATCAGTCAGTTATACCTGTCCATTCGTTGCTCTTTGTGAAATCAATACCAACAATAAGGTTAGAGGACTCAAGGCCAGCTTGTGCAAGGGCAGCGGTAACCTGCATTCAGCAAATTTCATTGACTGAAGATGTCTCTCTTTCATAATTTTATGATGTACAAACTATCCTACATAAATAAATAGATATTCCGTGACAGGCAAATTCTCCGAATGCAACATCTGAATGATTCACGTAGCTACATATAGGTAGAAATAGGGGGGAAATCAACTTAAAACCATTACAAAATGTCACAAGGAAGACAGACAATACATTATTGTAGTCAATTAAATGAATCTCCTAAGTGAAAAACCAGGAGTTGATCTATCCTCACGAGTCACCCCAATTAAATTTTGGCAGTCCATGACTCTTCATTTTTCTTGAATTACCAGTGTCAAACATCCATGTTCAGCATATACAGACACAAGTATGTCAATATGACCTCCAAAAACCCTCCAAATACATGAAAAAAATTAAGAAAAATTTTGAGCATAATCGTATCAGATTACATAGCATCTGGATGCAGTTTTTCATTTATTTATAATCCATCCAGATCCTCAAAATATTTTCAACTGCAATATAGATAGCTGACAGAAAAAGGTTAAGAGGGACGATGTTCTTTCCATCTAAATAGTTGAAGTCCAACAATTTTTTCACAAGTCTAAACTAGCTTTTATGTGTTTGACAATCGAGTTCTTCTTTTGGCTTTCATGTCAGGTGACCGATGTTCTTAGCTATCTTACCCCCACTCTTCACTTTTCTTGAAATACCCTTGTCAAACATCAGTGTCTGTCAGGTATTGATATCAAGATATGAACCTCAAAAGACCCTCTTAATATGTGGATAAACTTGAAAAAATTGTGTGTACCCATGTCAAAGGCATACCCCGTGTTTAACACTCATAGCCGGATCATAGATATCATGTTCATTTTGGACAAATATTCATGTTTACAATCATCGCCAGCCACATGCTTTCTTCATGTTAACCAGATCAAGGACAATACATATAACACTAATAGAATTGCACGCAAGAGGCTAACCTGGTCCAGTGTTTGGTAGTTATCATCTATCCTTGAGTATTTCACAATCGTATGCCCGTGACGGGATGTTCGCGATCCGTAATTACTCGAGGGAGGTGGCGCATAGTGATGCTGCGGTGTATAATACGCATTTTGCGGGGGATATTCTGATTGCGGGGGGTATCCATAGTGACTCCATGAATCCGAACCACCGGACCTGCTTGTCGGATACCCTCTTCCACTCAAATCCTTTGAGCTTTTACCTCCCATAACCAATATAAAATCTTAACAAACTATGCTACCTCAAGAGTTCAATGACAGAAAAAGATATCTCCTCCTGCAAAACAAATAAGATCAGCCATGAAAATCATTCACAGTCGGTCGGTCACTGTTTAGACGATAAGTTCATAAAATGACTGCAATAATTGAATATGATGAAAATCTAGCGAACTAAAATATATTAAAACCTGTTAAAAAATCTTTTGATTCTTGAATCAATGTACTGACAAATGAAAAGGGTGAAGGTTTGAAGTCATTAAAATCTATTTCTAAATTAAACTATTTAAAGGCCCCGAATAAAGGAAATTCCATGGAAAATTACAGATATGACTAACAAAATGCAAACAGGCAGCTGCAGGTAATGACTGGTTCAAAAACTACCTACCAATTAGAACATCTAACATAAATTAATTGCAATAATTGAAAGCCTGAATGTGCATACAAGACCACAGAAAACTCAAGACCATGATAAAGATAGAAGTAAACATACAAGTATACAACGAAAATTTTGGGATTTGGTACCGTGTTGGAATCTAAGATCATAAGTAACACAAAATTCTTGCAAATTGACAATTAAAGAAAAATTTACCTATGCAAGTAATTTTTATAAGTTAAAAACTTCTAAGAAAAGACAACGGGAGAAAAACTTCAGGTGGGTTTTTTCCATTGATGAACACGCAAGAGATGACAATTGATAAATATTTTCTATATTAGTAAAAAGAATAAAAATTTGAACACCCAAATGTTTGGTAAAAGATAAAGAAAGTGATTTATAAACGCAACCCTCACTAACCCAGAATTATAACTTTGCGAAATGAGTCAACTAGCATTGTTATTGTCACTTTTGATTTCCAATCCAATTAATTATTATTCTATATAAACCAACCATATCCCGGCAACAAATCAATTTAATATTAAACAAAGACCCTACAGTTCTGGGACACCATCTTCATTTCAAAGTAAAAATCTAACAGGCAAAATGAATTAACAATGATCAAACCTTGATTCATCCGGTTGAGACTTGGGATTTGGTTACTGTAAAAGACGACCTGAAAAATCAATATGACTAAACTCGAGAGGGATGGGTATTAACTCGAGAGCTGAAAATCTTGCGAAAAATATTTTCGAAAATTTTCTTCGAAAACAAATCAATGAATCGAAAGGTCAACAAAGTTTGGTGAGGGAAGGTGCGGCAGCGAGTGTGAACGTGTCTTCTTCAAGTGCATCTTCGACGAAAGCTCCCACGTATTTGATTTGATTTTTGAGCGGAGACTTTAGAGAGTCAATGGGGTTTTTTCCCGGAACCATGCCGATCCAGTTTTTTAAACAAGATTTTAACAAAGATTAAAACTTTTTTTTTTATGGATAGAGGTTTGTCCCTACGTGTTTTCATTTTTTGGATGATAAAAACAAAACTCTGCATCAATCACGATGACTTGCTTCTAGAAAGCATAATATAATTAGTTTGCTTAAATAATTAATTTTTTTTAAAATATTTCGATTCTAACCTTTCCTTTTGGAGTAAAAGAACTTTTAGGAGCTGTTTGGACGAAGGATAAAAAGATTACAGCTGGATTTTTTTCTATAATTTAATATTCATGTTTGGATTGCTGTGATTTCCAATAAGGGAGTAATAAATTATTCCTAACAGTAAAATTTTATGGCATTTTACGGAATGTTAATCTCATTCTTTGCTTAGGTATTTATTTATTCCCTTTAATTTAGACTAAAATACCCTTGAAATAAAATATTTATTTTAAAATACTCTTACTTTTATTTCAAAAGCTATAGTATTTTGTTTTCACAAATTTATTAAAATTTATTTTCTCAAACCATAGCTATATTTGAAATTCAACTTGTTAAAAAAATATCATAAGGACAATTTAGTAAAATATACATTCCAATAATAGTTTATTCTTTTAACCAAACATTGTAATCATACATTCCTGTCAAACAAACCAAACACAATAATGTAACATTCTCAGTAATGTGTAAAGTAATGTAACATTCCAGTCATTTGATTCCCGAATATAATGTTACATTACATGAACCAAACGCCCCCTTAGGGAATATAAAAGTGTCAATGAATAAACGACGAATATTCTAAGATAAAGATATTTTTTTCTAAAATAAAATATTTGACATCAAAATAATTTAAAAAAATAAGAGTTAAAATAACTATTTATTTTTATCATAAAATAAAATATTACAATCAATCAAAAGAATATATGTGAAAAAATTATTTAATCAAACTTTGAAAATATTTTTTTAAATTACCTTTCTAGAATACAAATAAGTTTATAAATCCACCGTGAATAATATCTTCTATGACATTAATTTCATAATTTGTTTTTCAAATTAATCCTAAAATTTTAAAATATCTGAATTTTATCCCTAAACAATGAAAGAAAATGTTTGAAACAAAGCGGAAAAATAGAAGGTTAAAGTAGGGGGGTGTAAATGAGATTAGACAGATAGCAAGTTACTCGAGATCGATTCGGTCAAGGTTCGATAAATACTCGGATCGAATGGACTCGACTCGAACTCGAGTTTGACTCGAATTCTTAACAAGCCGAAACGAGCTACTTGATACTCAACTCGAAAAGTTCGTGAACAACTCAAAAATATAATATATTAAGATTTTATTTGAAAAAAATAAATTATTAATAATATAAACATTTTTGTGTTGATTTTTTTAAAAAAAATACAATAAGACTTTCATATATTTAAGGTTTATGTTCGAGTTTGAGGATTCAATCTTGTTAAGTTTAAGAATTTTTTTTTTCATTTCGAGCCTTTTCGAACTGCTCACGAGCTTCAGTTCAGGATTTTGAGTTAGAGTTCAAGCTTAAAAATTTTAAGCTTGCGAGTTTTCGAGTCGAGTCGAGCTCTATTTCAGAGTTTTCGAGTCGAGTAGAGCTCAACAATACTCGAGCTCGACTCTGCTCGTTTACATCCCTAGGTTAAAGAATATACCAATTGAGAGAGAGAGAGAGAGACGAATCGAACAATATTCATGCCGACTAGTGTACGATTGTTGGGTGACTGCTGGGCAATGACAATTCAGATGACAACAAACAGTTGCGTTAGATTTGTAATATAATATTTTTAACGATTTTTTTGATGTATTTTTCGGCGAATAAAGGTCTCCGACGATAACTATTGTTTAGAGTCATTCTTAACTTAAATAATTTACAAATCTTAATTCTAAACAAATTAATTTACTTAAATTAATTTACTTAAATTAATTATTATTTTAAATTAAAAATATTATTTAATTATAATTCTATTAAAACTAAAACTAAATTTTAATTAATATTAATTTAAAAAATACAATTCTTTTTTTATATTTACATAATAAAGACAAATTTAATTGTGATATGTTTTAGTATGTCACTTCAATGATATGTTTGATATGCGACCATAAAATTTTCCCCATACTCTTATATATCCTACCTAATTTCGGCCATTCTCTACTCTTAGTTAAACCAAACAAATTTTGTAATTTTTATTATAAATCTTTAAGAAATAAATATTTTTCGTATCAATTTTTATTTGAAGCTATTAAAAAGTTATTATAATGTAAATAGCAAGTATATTAATATAATATAAATATCTTAATATTGTCTTATTTCGTGAATAATAAATAAATCATTTGAATCAATTTAGATTATCGTACCGAATTTAAATAAAAAGATATTTAAAAATCAGAATTCGGAGTTGAAGCCGCACTTAGAAAAGCCATGGATGACTATTTTTCTTTCCTTTCGGCTTTCATCATCAAGCTTTGGGCTAAGTAATTCTACATATATTAAATGTTGTTGTTCTCTGTATGCTTTCCTAGAAATTTCCATTTATTTTTTAGTCAATAATTAATTTGTTAACTATTTTCCTTGTTCATACTCAATTATATAAAAATATATATTTTACTTTTAGCAATCTACATTTATGTTAGTTCTTACTCCAGCTTAACTTTAATTACACCCATCTTAGTAAACGTGACACTAAACACACATAATTTAATCTTTAAATTCTATTTTGTTGAATACGAACTAAATTATCTCAGTTATTAAAGAAATCATTATTACTTTTAGAAGTCTCAAGTTCGAGCATCATAGATTGTAGGGTAATTGAACATTCATTATCAAATGGTTGAAAATATTTATAACGTATATTATCACTTATAAGCACTCTGGATTCATCAAAAATAAATAAATTGTATTTTGTTGGACTCATATTTTGGGGAGTTTTATTGGATAAAAATATATTTTTTAAAACTTCCCAGTAATGACTGTATATTAAAAAAAGTAAATAAATTAACTAATAGAGTTTATTCAAGCTATAAGCAACTTGATATTGTTTAAGTAATATCTAAAGTTCGAGTTCTTGTACAGAAAATTCTTACGGAAAGACTCACCTACCAAAGTTAGGTGTACGACACAAATCGATTTAGATTATTCAGAAGCAAGGGCAGAGGTAGGCCTGGGCCTACTTAGTCCATGACCCCCGTGTCAAGAGAAGACACATATAATTCTATAATTCTAATTACATTTAATTCTAATTCTACTTATAATTCTATAATTCAAATTACAATTTATTTTAATTTTAAATTATAATTATATTCAATTTTAATTATAATTCTATTTAATTACAATTAAATTAATTAAAGTCATATTTAATTTCAATTTAACTATAATTTTGCCTCTTTAAAATCTTAAATTAAGAGTTGTATTCTTGTAACTTATATAATATTTTGATATCTCTTTCTGTTAGGATCGAAGAGGCTCAATTTGAACAACTGAAAAAACGTACAAGGGGGTGAATTGGCATAGAATGTTAAGGGAGTAAGGAGAAATAAAAGATAGACAATTTTGCACAGCGATTTATAGTGGTTTGACTTCTCAACTAAGTCTATCTCCACTACCTTAGCTCATCACTAGGGATTTTCCAACAAATCCACTAATTTGTTCTTTCTTTTTCAAGGATCAAGAGTAACCTTTACAAACTCTATAGTTTTTCACTTAGCTAAACTATAACCAATCCCCTTTACAAAAGAAATAAAAGAAGTAAACAATCAAACCTCTACAAGGTAGGGTGTTTACAAATTAAAGCTCCCAATAACAAAATATTTACAAGAGAAAGTAAAATATGAATGAAAAACTCTTTTCTTGTGTTTGATTGCTTGAATAAGTGTTCTAACCCTTCTTCAAGTGTCCTTA